ACCTCCCCCTCCGATACCAAATCATAAATGAGGGGGGCTTTATTAACCGTGGACCTGGCGTTACACAGCATCAGCCGAAAGCCCAGGCCCTGAGATCCTAAACCCCCTAGGTTGCAAGAAGAGCCATGGGGGCCGGAGCGCGCCACAGCTCTTAAACAGCGGGTGCGCCCTCCCCTAGTGTGATATGGCCCTCTGCTCCTGCCATATCTACCCCTCCCATACACAGTCTTAATGGAATTGCCCTCTATTAGGCAGACCCTTCCCCCCTCCCCAATTCCAGGACCTACGCCCACCCCGCCGAGGCCTTCAGCCGGCCTGGGAGAATTAATTTCAGTTTGCCCACCCCTCTCCCTGGAACCCCCTAAAACCCGGACTAAAAATTTGATTAAAAATCCCCTTAGGTTGCGTTTTGACCTCCCGGGAGGTTACACGAGGCTGGCTCCAGGAAATCGTCAACGCTTCTTTGAGTGAGGGGTTCTTGCCGGCTGCCTTGAAAGAGGCTGTGGTAAGGCCCCTCCTCAAGAAGCCCTCCCTGGACCCGGCTACTTTGGCCAACTACCGGCCTGTCTCCAACCTTCGCTTTCTTGCGAAGGTTGTTGAGAGTGTGGTGGCACGACAGTTCCCTCAGCACCTGGAAGAAACCGTCTATCTAGACTCGCGCCAGTCCGGCTTCCGGCCTGGGCACAGCACGGAAACGGCATTGGTCGCGTTGGTTGATGATCTCTGGAGGGCTCGGGATAGGGGCTGTTCCTCTATCCTGGTCCTGTTAGACCTCTCAGCGGCTTTTGATACCATCGACCATGGTATCTTGTTGCACCGGTTAGGGGGGTTGGGGTTGGGGTGCACCGTTTTACGGTGGTTCTCCTCCTACCTCTCGGACCGGACGCAATTTGTGTTGGCAGGGGGGCAGAGGTCAACCTCGAGGCGCCTCACTTGTGGGGTACCACAGGGGTCGGTCCTCTCGCCTCTCCTGTTCAACATTTATATGAAGCCACTGGGTGAGATCATCCGTGGTTTCGGGGTGGAGTTTCATCAGTACGC